AAAAATGCTTAAAAACATTTAACTTTAGGATCTGCAGATGAATGATTACTAATATTTCCTTTTCTCTATTGGGTTTTTAGCTGAAAATTCAATTAAACCAATGGAAACACTAAAAGAAATATCTGGGAACATCTGAAATACACTGTAAAAAATTCAGAATCAAATTAGAGTATAAAGTATCGACCCTTTGTGTTCTTTACCAGTAATACCAAATTTTTTACCGTAAAATACTTTATTGTAATTTTTACAGTAATATTTATTTAATTAGAGTGATTCGCTGATTTCAAGCTATTTATAACTGTAAAAATTATGGTAAATCAGATTTTTTGTTCTATAACATGATCCGATTAAAAAGTACCGACACCCTGAGTGCCGTTACTTTTTACCGTAATTTGATCCAGGATTTTTACAGTGCAGCTTTAAATATTTTTCTGTAACTATTACCTAATCGACACAATGTATTTCCTTTTAAAACTTGATATGTATGGTTCTATGTTCTGATAGTATGGTATAACCAATTTTTCTCAGCATGTGCAGTGTTTTAAAAATGAAGAGGATTGCATTTAAATTTAAATGCTTAGTAAGAAGTGCTAACGTAAATAATAAAAATAATAATAAATAAAAAAAAACTGTAAATTTTAGTGGCTCATAAGAAAAATGGAACGCATATATGTTCGATACTGTGCAAAGTTAATAAAGATTTTTTTCTCCACTTAAGGAACTAACAAGATTACTTTTTACAATCCAGGTGAAACATAAATCAAGTTTTTCCTCAAATGGCGATTCAATTTGTTAACTATTTAGAAATCGTCACAATAATTTCTTTCTGAGATTTACATTATACAACTGCGTGTGTTCCTTTATCAGAATATGATATACTTGGGACAGCGAGTGCGATAAATCAGATAATTCTGTCTTTAACCCTGGCATTTTTTTTCTTCTTCTTTTCTTAAATGGAAAGCAGCTCCAGAGATTTTGGCAAGCAGTTGAAGAGGTTGTCTCTAATGATTGGGTAAACTGTATTTAATGTTCTTGTCACGGAGCAGATGATGTAACAACTTCAAAGGAAGTAGTAGTGTACTTTGATTGATAGACAAGTGGTTTTCTCACTTTCTCACGGATTATTACAAAAACTTAGGCTTAAGATTTCAAATTTTCCAAGTAAAATAAGATTATTCTGGTTCGAAGTACCGATGTTCTTATTCAAAGTACCGATAATCTTGTTCAAAGTTCCCATATTCTGGTTTAAAGTACCAATATTTTAGTTCAAAGTACCGATATTCTGGCTCAAAGTACCGATGTTATTATTCAAAGTACTGATAATCTTGTTCAAAGCTCCCATATTCTGGTTCAAAGTACCAATATTTCAGTTCAAAGTACCGATATTCTGACTCCAAGTACTGATATTTTGATTCCGAGTACCGATGTTTTGATTCTGATGATCCAATTCAAAGTACTGATATTCTAGCTCAAAGTACCAATATTCTAGTCCGGAGCACCGATGCTCTGGTTCACAGTACCGTTTATGTGGTTCAAAGTATTGATTTTAGAATTCAATACTGATTTTTCTTTTTTAGTGCGACATTAAATTGAATCATCAGCATATCTTATTAATCGTGTTTTTATTCTCAACATAGTGCAAATTCGCACAATGTTCCAGTTCAAAGTGCCGATAGTATGGTTTATGGTTGAACCGATTTTTCTGAAAATGAGCACTCTAAATTATCAATTCAGCTTAATATTCTATAAATTGCTGTAATTTTAAACAGGTGATAAAATCTTGCATTCTAATTCAAAGTACCAATATTTTAGTTCAAATCACCTACAGTCTGATTTCGAGTACCTTATTTATTTATTTTTAATTCAAGATGGAATTCGATGTTGAAAAATTGACAGGTGTTTTATGGTAATTTGAAGGAAAAAAAATCAAAATTGATGGACAGTTTTTTTAAACATCAAAGATTAAAAATATTATTTCATTTGAAAATTTAAATCAACGATTTTAGAAAATGTTAAATTTAAAGCACCAAAAAGTTGATCAAAACTTAAAAATTATGTAGGATGATTGTCATGACAATCGTCACTTGCAATCAATGTTTATGTCATAACCTACGTTATTTGCAGTCAATGCAATTCAAAGCTATCTCTTAATTATAACTTGAGTGAAAAATTGAGAGGGTTTGGGGCAACATAATGATAAGCCAAAGATGGCCGTTTTACATTAAACTGCTGCTTAGCATTGTTTCCAGATAAGTACCTTACAAGTTTCCCTTAGTAGACAACAGCAAAATACGAATACACAGAAATGCATGGAAACTGGAGTGTTAACAAGCATAAACGTTTTCCTGAACAATTTGAAATGTGACTTATAATTATAATGCCTCAATCTCTTAATTAATAAACCTTAATAAGAATGATAAGAATCCTTTTATGTACTTTGGAAGATAAAAAATGTCTACAAAATACAAAGAAAGATCCCGAGACAAAGTAGAAGGCGAAAAAGTACCCCTAGTTATTAAACATTTATGATTTACTATTATTGATTTATTTATGTATCAGTATTCCAGTAGCTTACTCATAAAAGCTNGCAGAGGATCAAAATTGTGATGGCGTGTCTTCGGATCATCCTCCGGGATGTTTCCCAGACCGTCGCCAATAGCCCATTGTGCAGCTCTAGTGCGACGTAAATTAACAACAACAACAACCTTATTAACAACACCTTTCGAATACCTTATTTATTTATTTTTAATTCAAGACGGAATTCGCTATTGAAAAATTTACGGGTGTTTTATGATGATTTGAAGAAGAAAAAAAAGTCGAAATTGAAAGACATTTTTTTTATACATCAAAGAATAAAAATATTATTCCATTTGAAAATTTAAATCAGCGATTTTTGAAAATGTTAAATTTAAAGCACCGAAAAGATGATCAAAACTTAAAAATTGTCTAGGATGATTGTCATGACAATCGTCACTTACAACCAATGCTTATGTCATGATCTACGTTATTTGCAGTCAATGCAATTCAAAGCTATAGCTTAATTATGACTTGAGTGAAAAATTGAGAGGGTTTGGAGCAACATAATGAAAAGCCAAAGATGGTCGTTGTACATTAAACTGCTGCTTAGCATTGTTTCCAGATAAGTACCTTGCAAGTTTCCCTTAGTAGACAACAGCAAAATACGAATACACAGAAATATGTTATTTCTTACGTGGAAACTGGAGTGTTTACAAACATAAACGTTTTCCTGAACAATTTGAAATGTGACTTATAATTATAATGCCTCAATCTCTTAATTAATAAACCTTAATACGAATGATAAGAATTCTTTCTTTTACGTACTTTGAAAGATAAAAAAATATCTATAAACTACGAAGAAAGATGGCGAGACAAAGTATAAGGTGAAAAAGATTGAGAGAAATAGTACCCCTAGTTATTGAACATTTATTATTTACTATTATTGATTTACACATGCATCAGTATTCCAGTAGCTTACTCATAAAAGCTTTTGTTTTCGTAGTTTCTCGATTATATGAACTTTAAAAAAATGTATTTTTATCCAACACATAGTTTATTCATTTTACTAAATAGAGAATATAATAATTGTATAACTCAGAGTTTATGAATAAACAACAAAAAAAAAATTTATTCTTTATGAGTTCTCCATAATTGGAGAAGATTTTCATTAGTGTGTTGCATTTTTACTATAAAAATATTCCCTTATATATATCTAATACGAAACATATATTTTATAATAATTTACAAAAGTTATCTAGATAAAATTATATTGCTGCATATAAATATCGATAACAGATACCTACTGCATGTATATTTTCGTTATTACAATAATTATATATTTCATATTGTATATAAAAGGCATTAAAAGAATTATAGTTAAAAATTTTCAAAACACGAAAAGGTATCTAAAGCAAATTGGTTAATTTGGTGGGAAATATGGAACATTATAGGAAAACTATTATTTATATATTTAGTGTCTTAATTATTTTTTTAAGATTAAAAAAAATTACAAGCATTTCATGAGTATTAATTATAATCAAATTCTTGTATCTTTCAATTTTGCGTGAAATTATTTTCAGAACCACAAAGCAACCAAATTACCATTCTTTTATTTTTTAATTATTCATAGAATTAGAGAACTGTTTTGATTAAAATTTTTTGAAGCAGTTATCTTTATAAAGACCTTTGTTTTTAAATTGTATTTACAATTTCAACCGATTCAGGAGAATTGTAATTATTTAAAGATAACTTTTCTTGCAGTATTTTATTACACTTATCACTTTTAAATTGATATCGTATCTATTATATTGAAATGAGTATAGCATAAAAAACTTGTTTTTCTTTAAATGCTATTTTTCTTTCCCTTTTTTCCTCCATTTTTTGAGACCAATACATTGGAAAATTTTGTCCAATGCATTGGAGAACATTTGGTATAATTCTTTTTTTTCCTTTTTTTTTCTTCCAGTTTGTATGCTTTTACATAGTGTTTGTTTATGTTATGAAATAATTACCCTCGTTGATCGACTTTTTTTAATTACAATTAAATAATTTATGAAATTCTACGAAACAAAGTTTTATTATTTGGGTTTAGTTTCATGACTAAAATAGGAAGAACACAATAAAAATATCTTACAATAAATTGAAAATGCTAAAAATTATACGTTACCATACTTTTAAGGAATGATTAAAAAAAAATTTATTAATTAAATTTGAAATTTTTTTTTAACGCATGATTTTGTTTTATTTAAATCTACATATTAAAGACACATTTTATACCATTATTTAAAGTTTGCGTAGCTGGAGATACAGAAGAAACTATGTATATTAATATAGAAATTAAATTATGTTTATTTTATACTTGTTGTGTAAGGAATAATGCTTCGTAATTGTAACTCATATAATCTTTGACTTAATGGAGAAAAAAATCTCATTGTAATCTCTAATTTCGATAAAATTATTTTTGATTCATATCTTTTACTTACCGGAAGAAGGTCGACAACTGTATCGTGTGGCGAACACCCAGACAGGCCAAGCCTCTTCATTATCTAAGTCAATTTCCTTTCCTTCTATTGCACTAGAGTCACTAGGTTTCGTTGTTTCATTACTGGGGAGCTTTGGTTCTTCAATGTTTATTGTCTTTTCATTGCTGCTGCTTGAAACACAATTAACGGACCTATTATTAGCAGACTGCGACGTCTGTACCGATTTAATCGATTTTCCATTGACTGCTGCATTTAATTGTTCTATTGGTGGTGTCTTCTCAAGATCGCATTGTCTTAAGTGATTTTCTCGGACTGCTGGGGGGCTTGACTTAAAAGACGAACAGCTGTTACTTCTCGGAGAGCACCTGTTGGAATCGCTAATCACCGTAGATCCTCGGGTATCACAGGTATCGTTGAAAGAGTGTCTTAGTTTCAGTTCAAGTTTCATCAATTCGGATTTATTCTCTTCCGATGAAGATTGCGAAGATGATAGATCAAAATAATCTGTATAGTGATAAGAGGGCTTTAACTCGGGTGTTTTGCAAGGTGTTAGTTTCAATGTCTTTGAATCCGCAGGTGAGTATTTTGCGGTAGTTTGATGAAGTTTGACATAAATATCGTCTGAGATTGAATCGTCTTTTGGCGAGATAGCTCTCGGCCAATTGAATGCCTCATTTCCTAGCTTTTTAAGGTTTAAAGCGGGAGATAAGGAACAGTCATTGAGAAGATAGTCTTTTTCACATTTGGTGTCTGAATTACTCTTTAGAGAAGCTTCATCAAGTACCATCGGACTCGAGTGTGAATTTCCATTTGGTGAATATGAACATTTGTTGTAGGAAACATCTGATGATGGAAATTTAAAACTATTAGCAATATCTTTAGGCACATTAATGTGTGAACTGTGGTCTATTTTGCTGGAGAGTTTTGTCAAATCTTTTCGGTCAAAGGAACAATAATTTCTTAAATATTCCCACGCTTTGATGGGATTAGATTTAAGGAATGATTCATTGGCTATAAATCTATCATCGCGAATCGTATATGGTTTAAAGTTGAAAAGATTGTGAAATTCAAAACTAGGCAATTTCAATTCTGACTCTTCAATGTGAATACCATTCGATTGTTCACGAAGAAACGACTTCTCGAAATTTTTCACCGGGAGCTTTTCACTAGTGACTGCGGGAAGGGAATAACCGAGATACCGCAAATTACCGGTTTGTTTAAAATCGGCCTTGGGCCCGAAATCAGGCGCTAATATCCTTTCGATGGAGAAAGTTAGAAGATTTCCGCCGCTCCCACAACGGGAGGAGGGCGGTTCGATGCGGCGACCGCCTTCCACATCCATTCCGCCAAGCATCAATTCGAAACCTTTTACAAAACCGTAACTTGGATAGAACTTAAATCGTAGCAGACGATTTCTTAACAGAGTTGACTCGAAGAATCTTGTTATTCGAAACTACGATGTTCTCTTCTCCCGCCTTTTTTTTGTTTTGTTTTTGTTTGTTTTGGTTTTATTTTTCTGAGTTTGGGGTGGTGGACATGCATCGATCGTTTCGTTTTCTATTTGATGAATATTGCTCATAGGACGAGAGCACTTCCGAAACTCCGCCCATTCGTTCGTGACGTCATGCATGAGAAATTCCTCATGAGTTCACATGCCGATCCTATTGTAACAGTGAGCAAATGATAGAGGGAAAGTAAAAAATGTTGGTTTTTAACTATAAACTGATCGTTTGTTTGCAGTCGTGAGGCGGACACCCACGGAGAATGGCGGCCCACCTCAGAATTCCTTTTTACAACTCGGGCTTTTAATACGACACAAGGAGGACTGTAAAAAAATGTGGACTGACGACCTGGTTGAATCTTTTTATTTTATTTTTTCACATGGTCTCTCTTCCGACAAATGCGCGTAGTAAAGATAATATTTCCACTCCCTTCACAGCTATTGTTCTTGTAAAAAGAGAAGTGATTTGCTTATTATTTCAATGATATTCCCTACCATGGGAGGTCTTATGATTTGATTTAAAATCATTTATTCTGATAACACATCGTTAGCCTACCGCAGTCCATTCAAATCGCAGTGAGATAAAAAAAGATCTATTTTACTTCAAAGAAAAATTATTCGAGGTATTATTTCTAAGAAATCTTTTTCTCATACATTTTATTGATTTAAGCAAATTTTCAACCAGATTTAGCGTAGTATCAGCGAAAGCATTATTTTCGCATTTTAATTTTATTAAATACTTGTAATTTGAGCATTGAAATTAGAATGTATAAGATGTTTGAGAATAATACAATATAATGATAAGCAACAACTTTAAAGGTTCATTAAAGCATTATTCGAGAGTTTTATGGTGAAAAACATGTCTGTGTCAGTGGTTTAGGGGTATTAGGAAATTTTGGAAATTCCGGAAACTTATAAGATACCTATCTCGAAACAATACCTACTGATAAACAGTTTGAAACAAAATGTCTCCTTTAGAAAGAATATGTTCCATGACCTTCATGTATTAAACACGATACTTTGCCTAATTTTGATATACTCAGTATGTGAAACTATTTTATCTTTTATGTTGAAAATCGCTTTATCTTAAATGAATGAAAAATTATTTTATTCTTGAAATGAAACGATAAATTCAAAAGTATAAGTACTTAAAATCTTCCGGTTTTAGCTAGCATTTTCTTTCTTTTCTCTTGATATAAGATAGCTTTTGCAAAATTACTATTACTAACACTTAAAATATGTATCTTTATTTCATTGCTTTCCAAGAATATAAAAAAAAATTCGCCACCAATTTTGCTCAATCATTTCAGGGACTTACTCCAAATTATTTTTAATTTATTTTTCAACCGGAGTTGAACAGCTGATCTATATCGGACAATGTTTAGCTCCGTAGTGTTGTAATTTTGAACTAAGCAAAACCACAAAATCCTCTTACGGTTAGCCTTACGACAAGGGAACTATAACCCATGATTCGTCAATCACTATATAGGTGGAGATACTTAGTTCCATAATATGGATACTTTTTCATGAAACGAAATTTTTTAACCATAAAAAAGTAAAATCAACACAAATGGTCTAGTTTTAATTTGTGATCATTACATGTTATGTTAAAAAAATATTAATTTGTTTTTTCATCGGTTAACATGTTTAAATTTATTGGAACATTTTAAAAGGAATTAGGTATATTAGAATTGTCTATTTAGTATAACTCTACTAACGCTACCAATCAAAGGTCTATTAATTGTTTTATCATGATGTTTTAAAAATTCTAATTAGTTGGAGGTGAAACACTTATTAATAAAGGGGTTTATTGTTTTAAACTACAAGGAGAAAAAAATTCGGGAAATATTGTAATGAAGTATTGAAAATGTATAAATTTAATCAAATAAACGGTTTTTATAATACATTTTGAATACCTATAGAATCTAAATTGCAAAAGTGATGTTTCCAAAGTGGATAAAATTTTAATCTATTTTGGATATACAGATAAACCAGGGGTCTGTCTGTTTAGAAGAAATTTGGGACCGTTAACGGACCCTTCACAAAATATCTTTCTATGAAAACGGACCCTTCATAAAATGATTTTTCTTTTAATCGGACCCTTCACAAATTTGTTTATCTTCATTATTATTTTGTTAATCGAATAAACCCTTTCCAGGGCAGAAAATAAGAAAGATGGATGTAAACGAATTAAGTTTTGTCTTCGGCAGACGATTCTTCCATTATTCGTCCGAAATGAATATTCTGCGTTCAGCAGTATAGGCTAAATACCAAATATTTGCATGTTGCATCTCTAATTTAAAAGCAGCAATTGTTGTTTATTTTTTTAAATTTAATTTTTTTAATTATAATTTTACAGTGTTGAGCATTATCATGAATGTCTTTACAATTTAAAAACTCCTTGAAAATTTTTTTTTTTTTGCAATAACGGACCCTATTTGCACAAATTCATAAAAGCGGAAGCTGATTGAAAAAATGTGAGTAATTTTTTCCCAATTTCACGAAAAACGGATCTTTCACAAAATGTCTGGACAGACCCCTGTAAACTAAATTGGAATAATAATGTATCCACAATGGAATAGGCTTAAAAACCAAAATTAGCTTTAACAATTAGCACATATTGGTTTTTAGTGTCGCTAAAATAGATCAAAATTGTGTACATTTTAGTAATTTTTATACTAAAATGTGTACATTTTAGGTTCTTTATGAAACGAAGGCATATTGGATAGTTTTTTTTTTTAACCATTTATAGTTTCAAAGAGAGTATATTTCCAATTTGAAACAAAACTAAATCCATCTTAAAACCCAATTTTAGTTTTTTTTTTGTTCTGTTAAAGATTAAGAATATTGTCTTAACAAAATAATATTTAAGATTATCGACATTAAGATAATGAACATTATCTACTTAAATTTAAGTCTTATAAAAATGTGAGTCTAAACCAAATAGTTAATTATTTTTCATTCTTCGCAACAGCAGTTAGATAAACAAATGTTTCTTTTAAAACGAACTGAACAAAATGAATATTGATGATATTTATTGATACTCAACAAAAGTAAATATAATTAGACAATAAAAAAAAAATAAAAAAACTAATCTGAGACGTTAGTTTTTAATATAAATTTTTCAAGAAAAAGAAACAAATTTCAAACAATTTTACACAGTGAATCGAATAAATTATCTAAAATTAGGTTCGAAAGTCATCAGTGAAAAAATAATAAAACTCTAATATAAGAACTCAAATGGTGTAAATAAAATGTTAACAATCCTGTTTTCTCTCAGTATAACTTTTGTGGAATTTGCTGACTTATAATAGTGAATTTTTAAAGACAATTATGAATTTTAAAAGTATTTGATAAAATCATAATAATCTCAATAGAATAAAATAATTTCAATACAATAATCCCAATAAAACGAAGCAACTCTTAAAGAAAAAAAGAACTTTGCTTTTATGTGTCATTAATTATATCAAGCTGCTAATCATAATATTTATGACATGGTAAATTCAATCCTTTTAAAATATAAAACTAAAAACCTTAAAAAGTTTCTTAAGGACAAAAAAAAATCTAAATCTTTATAAGAAAATTAGTTTAAAAAAAAGGCAAGGGATAACATATCCCACATTCTGAAAAATGAAATGACCCATTGGGTATTATTGATCGGGCGTGCAATGCCTAGGCAATGCGGCGTGCAAATATCGGGCGTGCAATGATTTAAATAAAACAGAGTTTATTAAAATAAAATGAATATAATTTAGTGATAAATGAATGCATTTCAAATAATTTAATTTCATCAAAGCATTTCATTTGTTAAGATGTTACAATTTGTAACTTGTAGATAAAAATTTTAGTATAGTTAAAATTTAAAAATCATTTAATGTTATACAGAGTATTCACTACAACACTGTTGAAAAATTTCTCGGAATAAATGGTTACATAACAATTGATTTAATTGTTATTTTACCATATTCAAACAAAACAGTCAAAGAAGCATAATAAGATGGTATTTAAATAATTAACTGTGAGAAAAATCGTTTACAAACTGCTTTCATTTTATGCGGTTAAACAACCTGAAATTTATCGCACTATATAACTCACCTAATGAAGCCACTTAGTTCCTTAAAATTGCGTACGTATTTATGCAGTGAGAGAGGGAGACCTAATCTGTCAGTCTCATGGCGGTCAGAACGGGGGTTCGAGTCCTTGCGTTGACACCACAGTATTTCCTCCTTTCTCTTCTACACATGAAGAGTTTCTAGTGTCCAGCACTCTCCAATAACCATTACATAACGAAAGGACAAGCTCTGTCTAGTTAAATTCTTTTTTACGGTTTTGAAACCCTGCTAGTGATGTAAATGGTAGACCTGTATGAAACTGTAAGAAACCTGTACGAAAAACTGTAAAGTTTTACTGTTACAAATCTCTAAAAAACGGTAACTGTATAAAAACTGTATAGTTTTGTATTCATGGTTTAATAACCATACTAGTTCTAAACGATTTCACAACCGTAAAAGTAAAAAAAAAATTTCTTCACCGTAAATTTTGCGGTTAATTGGATGGGCAGAGTACTGCTGCTTATTTTAAAGTATTTTTAGAATTAAAATTCTAACAGTACACTGTTAGAATTTTAATTCTAAACAAAATCTCATTCGAACACAATTATTAACATCTCATTCGAACACAATTATTATCGAACACAATTAATTCGAACACAAAATCTCAAAACTATAAAATTTCTTTTAATTCAAAACCCACTTTTTCGAAATGCAAAAATTCCCTTAAATACTTAGAGTTAACTATCGTAAAAAACATATCTTTATCCGACGATTGATTGTCAAACTGAACGCAGTCTACAGTATATGCACACTAACACTAAATGCTAAAAATATATATATATATTGCTATTCAATAATTAGACACATTTGATATGAAATTATTTTCAAAATATTTCCCAATAAAATGAATCAATTTCTAAAAAAAAAAGTTCTGCTTTTATACGCCATTCTTTTTTATCTTTATTTCAATTCAAACTTGACATCGGTATTTCTAACAGTTGGTGACTAAAAGGTGTGATGATGCCAAATGGTTTAAAAAGAAATCAAACGATGTCAGACTTAGAAATCTATGTCTCCCAGCAAAACTTTTTCAATTGCGTGATTAAATTGATTGGAACATTTCAACCTGGGCTAGCTACATTCACGTATCTTAGTCCATTAGTAATTCCAGTAACATTACCAATCAAAGGCCTTATAATTGATGAGCTGAAGAATTTGCCGGAATGACAGCAAAATAGGAAGAGCTATTACATAGTAGTAAAGTTCTGTCAATTGAATAACGCATAACGAATAGAATAATCGAAAGGAATGAATGAAGTATAAAACCAAAAACTTTTTTCTTATTTAGAAACATTTTTGTACACGTGAAAAAAAATGCTACCCATCAGAGAAACATCAATTTTGCATCAAAAATACGTATATTTAACCGTTAAATTTTACTAAGCATTCGTAAAATTTACATAAAACTGAAAGGTCGAATTATAGCAAAAAATGGATGTCCGAAAAAACGTGAAATTCACGTAAAATTATGCTTAAAAAAATTCGTTTCTATTACGAA